TTACAGAGGATTAAGCAACATGCACGGATCTCAAAACACTGTTTGGTAAAGAAAGCAAATTGGAGAACAAGTCAATGTATCATTTGCATTGGATACAAAACAAATTGGTCCCTTTCTGCCTGATGTTCTCATTTTCCCTATCGCAATAGTATTTTTTTTTGGGGGGGGGAGTACCAGGAGTCAAACTCAGGACTTTGCACTTACCAGATGGGTGATTGTGCCATTGAGTTATATCCCTGGGTTTGCAGTAGTCTGTCTAAAGTCTCTCTTTACCTAATTGGAGGGTGTTTTTTTTTTGTTTTTGTTTTGAAATAGGGTCTTGGTATATAGTTCAGGCTGGCTTTGAACTCACAAGGAACTTCCTGCTTTAGCCTCCTAAGAGCTGTGATAACAGGGATGTGCAATCATGCTTGGAAAATTATTATTATTATTTTTGGAGGAGCCTGGGATTGAACTCAGGCCCTTGTGCTTGCCAGGGAAGCACTTATTTTACTGAGCCATTTCCCCAGCCCGAAAATTATGAATTTATGTTTTATTTGACAATACCAACCTTCAGTGTTTCCTGGAGCTTGCATAATTCACTTTCCAAAATGCAAACTTGTTGTCTTAGACTATGAAATTCTCGGCGGCAGCTTCGAAGTGGGAAGATGGCATCTTTCAATATTTCTAAACTCTGAAATTCATAATAAACAAGTCTGAATTTTATGAGAAATATGGTAAAGAGGGAGGAAAAAAATAGAACCAGAAAATAATTTGATATATTTCTTACAAAGGCACACAAGATCCCCAAAGTTCATCTTGCCTCAGCCTAGCTTGAGCATTCTGCTCACCTAAGTGCACATAAACAAACCCCTGGTCTGCCAAAAAACCCACACTGCTGCAAACAGGTATGCATACCTGTGTTACACAGCTCTGGCACCAGCTGTATACTGACCACACTCTATTTGTCCAACATTTTATCACTTCTTTGATGTAGGGAAATTTGAAGTTCCAGGATGGTCTGAGCCAGTGTGTACTATGGGGTACATCTGTTGAAGAAATAATTGTTCTGTGGGAAAAACAGAAGCAAACAAAGTGAGTAAAAAAAAAAAAAAATCCTAAAAAATCAGTTCTGTTTATTTGTTTTTGTATTTTATACAAGGTCTACAGGGTCTCACTACACAGATCAGACTCGTAGTGATCCTCCTGTTTTTAGCCTCCCAAGCACTGGGATTACAGTGTGCACCACCACGCCCAGTCTCAGTTGGGGGGGGGGACGACACGGGACAGACACAGCACACTGGGGATTGAACCGTGGTCGCTGCGTTGCCTAAGCAGGTGCTTTAGTCCTCTGAGCTACATGGACAGCTCTGTTGGGTTATTTTGAGACAGGGTCTCATTTGGTGGTTCAGGGTGGCCTTGAATTTACTATGTAGCCCAGGCTGACCTCAACCTGGGGGCAATCCTCCTGCCTAACCCTCCTGAGTCCTAGGATTGCAGGCATATGTCACCATGCCTGGCTTGATTCTATTTATATATATAAATAGAATATCTATCTATATATATCTATATCTATCTATCTATCTATCTATCTATATATATAGAGAGAGAGATTAGGAATTAAATCTAGGAAACTGCATATTAAGTATCATCTCTCCCACTGAGCTACAACCTCAGCCCTAAGAAGCTGGTTTCACAATGTGAAGCGATCAGGGTCTTTCTAAAGCCAAACCCTTCATTAGATTCCCAAATTCATGGATTCGGCTAGGTATGGTGGCACACACCTATAATCTCAGCACCAGGCACTGGGAAGGCTGGGGGAGGAGGATTACTCCCAGTTTGAGACAGCGTCTACTTATATAGTCTAGGCTTGCCTTGAACTCACTATGTAGCCCAGGCTAGGCTCAAAATCTTCACAATCCTCCTGCCTTAACCTCCGAAGGGCTGGGATTACAGATGTGTGCCACCATGCCTGATAAATTACTGCTTTCTGAGGGCCTGATTATTTTAAAAACGTTTTATAAAGAAAGCTATGGAGGGGCCTACCCTTAGCTCAGTTGTTTAAGCGCCTGCAAAGGCAGTCAGGAGCAGGTGCCTGTGGTTTAATCCCCACCTAGACCTGCCATTCAGGCAGCCTGAGCCACCAAAAAAAAGCTATGGAGCTGGGAGTATAGCTCAGGGGTGGGATACATAATGCACAAAGCTCTGGATTCAATGCCCAGCAATAACAATGTAAATAAATAAGATTTAAAAAGAAAGTGCTAAAAAAAAAAAAAAAAAAAAAAAAAAAGAGAGTGCTAATGTATGCAATGTGTTAATTGTTGAAACTGTCCTACCAGTTTGGTTTGAAACTGTCTCATTGCTATTTGTTTGTCAATAAAATCATGGAAAAAATAAAAAAATAAAAAGAGAGTGCTATAACAACAAAGAGCTATGTGATTGTAAAAGCCAACACTCTACCAGTTAGATTCTCTTTCAATAGAACATTTATCTTGTGAGTGCTAGAGAAAAATGACCAAATTTTACCCAAACCTAAGACTTAAATTCTATTCCCATGCCTCTTTCCATCACCTAATTGCCAGACTTACATGTGGGGAACAGGGTCACCAGCAGGGAGAGCAGGAGGGGTGGCCCTGCCTGCCTTAAGGCAAGGGTGGGGACACCCCCAAACTGCTCCCTGTAGCTGGGAACACGTCCCTTCCATGACCTCCAAGAATATGCCGTGAATGGGAGATCTACCAAGAGGAACTCGGCCTTGATTCCTTCCCGAGTTCTCAGTATAAAACAAAAACACCTGGTATTTGTAGCAAGAAAAATTCTGAGTTTAAATTATACTAGCTTCACCTCATGTAACCTCATATGCGACTGTATAAAAACTCTTTGAGAATAAAGAACCTTGCCTTTCACCTGAAGAGCGTCTGGTCCTCTCCCTTCAGCCACCCTCCCTACTCCCGTTGTCGAGCGGGACTCGACACTTACACAGTTGAAGTCACCTGGAAAAGAGACCATAGTTATGGTGCACTTGAGCACAATTTCTTGTGACTCTCACTTCATTTGAATATTTTTTCTCCTTTGGTCCTACCAGGGATTCTTACCTGGGCCTTGCAGCACTCCATCTTCCAGCTACTCCCCTGGTATCCTTGCCCTTTAAAAAAATACTTTGAGGGGTTGGGGAGATGGCTCAGTGGAATAAGCGCTTCCCTGGCAAGCGCAAGGGCCTGAGTTCAATCCCCGGTTCCACAAAAAAAAAATACTTTGAGCTGGGTGTGGCGGTGTATGCCTGTAATTCCAGCAGTGGAGAGGCTGAGGCTGAGTCCAGGAGGATCCTTGAAGTTCAAGGCCATCCTGGGCTACAAAGTGATATATATATATAGGCCCCAGGCCTTACACATGCTATACAAATGTCCTACCACTGAACCTTTCAAAATTTTGTTTTGAGGCAGAGTTTTACAGAGTTGCCCAGGCTGGTTTTAAACTTGTGATCCTCCTGGTTCAGCCTCCTAAGTAACTGGGATTACAGCTGAGTACCTGGCCCAAGGATGAATTTTAGCATATTGCAATATTTAATGGGACACATTTATACTAAAAGTTATTTACTGTTTTGTGAAATTCAAATCTGATTCCATGCTCTAAATTTTATTTGCTAACCCTGGTAACTCTGTATTTCTCAAATTGCTCTAATATTTTCTCTGTTTTACATTATATCTTACCTTTCTGGTGAGGGTGGTGGAGGAGGAGGTGTAACTAGTTTGGATTGGAATGGAGAGGCTTCTTTTTTTTTGACTAATCTTTTGGCTTTAGCTTTTAGCTTTCTTCTTCGTTGTTTGAACTTGGGCATGATTTCTGTGGAAAAAATTTTAAGAATATTTTAATTGAGGGGCTGGTGAGATGGCTCAGTGGTCTAAAGCACCTACTTAGAACAAGCTTAGCCAAAGCACAGGGACTGCAGTTCAATCCCCCAGCACCACATGCCAGCCAGCCCCGCCCCCTGGTGGGCTGAGCTGGCCACACACACACACACACACA